ACACGCACGATCTCCGCAGAGGGTTGCGCGCGCATGGGACAAATCGCGCTCTCGCCTACATTTCGCTCACTCGACACGCACGATCTCCGCAGAGGGTTGCGCATCAAGTCTCCAAAACGAGCGTTTCGTACGAGACTTCCTCAAAAACTCACACGTCAAAGTCTGCAAAACGAGCGTTTCGTACGAGACTTCCTCAAAAACTCACACGTCAAAGTCTGCAAAACGAGCGTTTCGATCGAGACTTCCTCCAAAAGTCAAGCGGAAACACCCATCGGAGCACACACATCACGCAGCCCTGCCAAGCAGTTTCGCGATTCCAGCCCTTCCAAACAACATCCGCTCACACGCCAATCCCAATGTGACAGCGACATTCACCTCTACCACAACTCACAACCTCACAATTCCCTGCGCCTGCCACGAATCTTTCCGCATCCACACGTCTAACGCGCACAAAGTACTGCGCCTGCCACGGAACGTCACCTCCGTCACACCTCGCAACCTCACGATTCCCTGCGCCTGCCACGAAAATCGCACTTCCACGCCTCAAAACCCGCACAAAGTCCTGCGCCTGCCACGAAAAGTGACAATATCATCTCATGTGAGCTTCAACAAAATTTGCACCGCACCACACGTTTGGAATGATTTCGACCCGTTCTGAGCACACTCCCATCCACCAAAATCGCCATTTCAGCTGAGACTTGTCGCAAATCACAATGGAATAGCGGCGCAAACTGACACGTGACACGTCCATGAAAAGTCACTTGCAAAAGCTTCCCCCAATGGCAGCAAATTTGAGACGCGACGACGACGACAAACGACGAGAGACGACGACAGACGACGAGAGACGACGACAAACGACGAGACGACGCAAGCCATGCAAACACAGCTCCAACCCCCACACCCCCAACTATAAACGGGAACCCTTCGCTACGCATTCGGGAAAAAGAAGAAACACAACAACTATTTGTCTTAAATGCATCCGCAAAACTGGGCCAAAACGAAGGTACATTGAACTCACGACCTTTGCCGATACTTCGTCTCGCGCACTTTTCAACCACCTGCCTTGATCGGTGTCAAGGAATCATCTGGAAACATCCCCCACACCGCACAGTTTAAGGTCACTTGCTTGCGCGTCGCACCGCTACTGGCCATGGTATCAAAAATCGCGGACATCTCCCGGCTGACCGAAATTGAGATGCTACCATCTTCAGCAACTTCCAACACGGAGTAGCCTTCAGCGATGGCTTGACTCGACATCTACTCTGCTTGTTTCAGTCTTTCTTGTGTCTACCTTTGTTCAACGACTCATCCTATGAGTCCTGAACATGGGTGTATTTAAAGAAATGATTAGAAATTAGAAAGGACGCATTGCATTCTGGCCTTCAAGCAGGCCAGTCCCCAGCAAAGAATCAAAGGACCACCCCAAGTTGCTCGGTGTTGTGTCACAAGCCACGAAGAAATCCGAAGGCTTCAAGAGCGCATCAGACTGAGGGATGAGCTTCAGGACTGGCAACTGATCCCCAAGTGTTGCTGACACACTGCTTGTCCCATAATTCAATGTCGTCCAAGGCTGTGGCCTCGGCATCACTACAGTACTAGTAGCAAGTGCATCGCTACTAGGAACAAGTGCATTATTACTAGTAACAAGAAGCTACTAGTGACTAGTGACAAGGTGCATCACTACTAGAAACAAGAAGCTACTAGTAGCACAGCACCTTATTGCTAGTTGTGGTCCGAGGCCGTGGCCAAATGGCAACAACTTTGGCTTCTCGCCTTTCCCATTTGCTTGCACTTGCTGCTTGGTGCAACGCCGAAACCCGGCAAATGCCACCCTTCTGTCCGGCCATGCTGCCATCGCTCACACCCCCCTTCCAAGCTTGACTAGGACCACCTGTCAAGGTGCCTAGGGATGCATCCACGGAAAGCCAGCCTGTTTGGGGTGCGCATTTCACGGCGAAGTCCTTCCAACTGCCTGCAGCTTTGGAGGCAACGAAGACAGAGGGCGATGTCTGGAATAAGAGCAAAGGGACACCGTAAGCAAACCAATCCATTGACACCTTAGCTCGAATCTTTGAAGCTGGACATCTTGCAATTTGAGAAAACGAAAACAAGCGCCTCTTTGGAAGGGTACTTTGTATTCTATGGAATTGCGTTGTTTAACTTGTCTTTGTCTATGTTCGATGCATTTCTTTCGACTTTTGTCGCACCTTGACAACTGCGTCAGAGGTCACACCATGAGCTTGATGTGCGGTGACAGTGCACTCCACGCTGAAGGGCTCTGCAGCACTGCCAACCGACGTGATCTCGCCGGTGGATCCATCCATCGTCAAGTTGTACTCCGCGAGCTCACAACCCTCATTCCTCACATTTCCGAGTTCACAAGGACGCTACTAGTAGCAAGTGCATCGCTACTAGGAACAAGTGCTAGTAACAAGGTTCGCTACTAGTAACAAGGTGCATCGATTCTACTAGCAACAGATTTCTGCACTTTGCAATAGAATAATCTCAATCGCACAGTGGAGCAAGTGAAGTATGGCCATGCAGTGTAATATTAAGGAACATCTGGCCACTCAACTGCAACCAACGATACCGACGATACCTTTCTATTCACAAGAAGCTGTTCCTTTACCTTTCCTAAGACAAGTTTCAATGAATAGCTTTCAGCTGTGCGGGGTCTTGGCTTCATGGAAACCTGTTCACCCAAGGCCCAGTGCTTCAGGTCGTAAGCAAAAGGCGTTGCCGTGACGGTGCCACCGTTGCATTTGCAACAAGCCTCATTGCTGCTTAGACCTCAAAGGCTCAAACATTGCACGAAGTTCCTAGCAGCGTCCTTGCTCCTAGTAGCAAGGCCAGGAGCCCCTAGTAGCTTCTTGCTCCTACGTAGTAGAAATGCCCTTTGCTCCTAGTAGCTTCTTGTTACTAGTGGTAATGCTGGGAGCTACTAAGAGCTTCTTGCTCCTAATAGCGATGCCCTTTATTCCTTTCTTTTTTCATTTCAAGTAACCAGTCGACTGGCGAAACTTCCCCGGCCCGAGCCTTTCACCTTCACGCTGTTGCAATCAGAGGAAGTGAGCTGTGCACAAGTCAGTCCTACACGATGCTTCTTGTTACTACTAGCGTGGCACCTGTTACTACTAGCGTGGCACTTGTTACTAGTAGCTTCTTGTTACTACTACTGTGCACAAGTCAGTCCTGCACGATTCACCCAGCCAACTGTGTCTGCACAGGCAGTGCATTTGCCTCCACGTTGCATGAAGCCACCAGCGCAAGTGCTACACGTCGTTGCACCATACTGTGCACATCCAGCACATTGCACACTTCCTTCTGGACAACAAACCTCATTGTAGGAACTGCGTGAGAAATGCTTCAGAGGCACTTCGTTAGCTGTGCATGAAGCTTGGCTGACATTCAGCGTGGCCAAGACCGGACCATCTGGAGAATGACCGAATTGAAACTTCGCTGAGGATGTCTCCCCCTTCTTGGCAGAGCACCCTTGGAACAAGGCGGTCTGATTGGGCGAGACTGGGCCCAGCCCCTTGGTTTGATCCATCTCCTCCTTGATCTTGTCGACCTGAGTTTCTTCAGACTGCCGACTGCAGCGAGTAGCGATGGCCTCCAACCTAATAGCAAACTATATAGACCTTTATTCCTTTTCTTTTCTTCTTTGTTTGTAATAGCGATGGCCTCCAACCTAGTAGCGATAGCCTCCGCTCATTTTCGCTCGATACACTCTTGAGACCTTCTTGGAAATTCTTGAACGGTCTGTTCTTTCCAAACGCTACCAGAATACTTTGAGGGCTTTGGTCCTATATTTTGCATCACGCCTGTGCTTGTACCACATTGCTTTTAGCTGGGATCAGAGTTATGATACCGTCATGTACCATGATTCACGTACCATATATCTTTTGTCCCATGTTTCATCGCTTTGTCCGGTTGGAGGCCGGAGGCTTGGTTCGACTCATGTTTCGTTTCGAACTCCGGCGACCTCGTCCTTCATCATCTTCATGGTCTCCATGAGCTGGTCCAGCTTGGTCTTCGGTCGATTCCGCTGCAGTAAGCTGCGCGACTCTGCTTTGAATTCCTGAACCATTTGCACTGAACGTTAACATGGGGGCAAACATGAAGGCGAGGAGCAAAACTTGACACGATTTGTCCTTTTGCCCCTCGATGATCCCAAAGGGTACTCAAATGATCCCAAATGGAACTGCACGTCAAACTCTTAAGCCTTCCCGCGCCTCAACGCAGTTGTCGCCGAACGCAAAAACGCTCAAATAGAAGATTGCCTGAGAGAAACATGATCTTACCGTTGAGCCTGCTTGAGCCTGCTTGAGCCTGCTTCCTGGGACCTTGTTGGGATAGGACTCGTGCGGACAAGGCGCCAAAGGCCACAGCATTGATAAAAAATGCTGCAGAGTCTCTGCGGAGCAGAGTACGGTTGAACTCCAAGTTTAAGGTCTGAGCCAAAATCATGGCTGGACATCAAGGCACATATTCAACCTGTCTTGATGAGGTGGATATGTTGACTGTTCAAGTAACCAATCGGAAACTATACATTTGGAATTGCCTTGTGTGATGCCATGGTGCCCAGCAAATGTCATGTTCTTTTCCTTTTGACCGCAGCCGCATTTAGGACAAAGTGTGATTTGTGAAACTCTTGCACTGCAAAAGACCAAACGTCAGCCACTCTTGGTTCAACCAGGCCTTGTGTGGCTATCTTAACCCCAGTGGCGAGGTCATGTCTTTGAAAAGATGTCTTTCAGAAATTGTTGCTTTGAACACGTCCTCGTTGCTTTTGTAGCATCCATTGTCTTTGAGCCCGCGTTGGATCGACTCAAGCAAGTTCTTCTGGTACCAGGCCTCACTGAGAGCTCTGTTCCATTGAAGGTCCATTCAACACTCGAAACCACCTCTTTTGTCGATCGGAGGCAAGTGAAAGCCTTGGAGGCGAAGTGGCAAAACTGAATGACAAAGACTCACAGACTTTCACATCCTCCTGTCCTCTCACAATACGAAACAGTTTCCTGCGATGAAGCTGTCAGCTAAGCATAATATACAATTGTTGTATTCCGGCCAGCAGGTCACAGGCCACCAGTGCCGCCACCGGCTGAGAAGTAGATAATTCAGCTAAGCTAAGCTGTTGAAAGTGCATGATGTGCCTCAAAGCCACAAGCAAAGCTTAGCCTCAGGCTGGAGTTTCTAGGCGGTGTTGAACCATGCCTGATTGCAGCTCGACGTATGAAACGAGGCTCGAGGCTCAATGATTCTACAATCAAGAAATAGAAGCCTTTGTTCCTAGTAGCTTCTTCCTACTAGTAGTAATAGCCTCCAACCTACTAGCGATGGCCTCCAACCTAGTAGCTTCTTCCTACTAGTAGTAATGGACTCCAAAATGGCCTCCAACCTACTAGCGATGGCCTCCCACCTAATTAATAGCGATGGCCTCCAACCTTAAGTTTCCCTAAAAATCTAGGAACCAAATCATTAGTGCGAGCGCTATCCTGCGTCCAGTTACTAGTATCTTACGTGTAGCTACTAGCGACCCCTCCCTACTAGCTACTTCCTACCTCTGCTAGCGGCCTACCCCCCTCAAAAAAGAAACGAAAAGCGTAGGTCCTCCTTCTTCGGCTTTCAACGAGTGCTTTGCAATGCGCAAAGTCCGCATCCTTGCTTGATGCATTCTGATCAAGCAAATGTTAAGGGAAATGGGTTTTGCTCATGAATCTTGCTTGCAAAAGCGTTCAAGCGCAATGTTAAGGGCTTGCTTGCACTCCGCTTGCTCCTGACATCTTTGTTGCAGCTCCTGGCCCTTCCGAAGTTCTGCCTGCAGTCAATCCAAAAGGTTCGTCGATTCATTCAACCTGTCTGTGGCCTCCCGACGAGCAGCTTGCTCTGCCTGACCACGGAAACTACAAGCTTCTTGTTACTACTAGCTTCTTGCTACTAGTAGTACGGCCAGGAGCCCCTATGGAAGAGGACGATCACGGAAACGCATGTGTCAAGTTCGGTTGAAAAATGAAAAATTGCACGACGAGGCCATCGCTACTAGGAGCAAGGACGCTACTAGGGGCTCCTGGCCTTACTACTAGGAGCAAGAAGCTACTAGTAACAAAGGGCATCGCTACTAGGAGCAAGGATGCTATTAGATTGAAGGCCACCTTCATTCATCTAAATTCCAGACAAATGCCCACAAGCTGGTGTGGAGAAAGAAATGGAAACGTGAAATGGATGGTGCAACAAGTGCGTTCTCGAATTGAACTCCATTGGACTCCGCACATGGAGCGAAGCCAAAACCTTTCTCGTAAGGTCCTGAATCCGAATGGCTTCGAGTATCTTCGAGACTGTTAAAACAGAAAACATCGCATGGGCAGCCCCAATCCAACACATTTGTCATGCTACATTGCTACATTCTACGTCCTCTCGACGTATGCGCTCGCTCTCCACTCTTCGGTTCGCGCTTTTCGCATACCTGCGACTTAACAGTGAAGTCTATCCCAATGGTTGGAATTTTGCAAAATGCGGAACAAGGGCATCGCTACTAGTAACAAGAAGCTAATAGGTTGGAGGCCATCGCTACTAGTAACAAGGCCATTACTAGTAGTATAGCTAGAAGCTACTAGGAACAAGAAGCTACTAGGGGCTCCTGGCCCTACTACTAGAAGCAAGGCCGCTAGGGGCTCCTGGCATCGCTACTAGGAGCATTCTTACTAGTAGCTAGAAGCTATTAGCTTATTGTTTCTAATAGCAAACATTGTTACTACTAGTAATAGGCACCTGTTACTACTAGCGATGCACTTGTTACTAATAGCTTCTTGTTACTACTAGCGTGGCACTTGTTACTACTCTCTTTTTGTTTCGCAACAAACGGCACACCGAAGGCCCATGCACCGCTGCTCTTCGCGCCGCATAGCAGCCAAGGAGTGAAGCTCCTCTTCCTACAATTAAAGCATTTCGATTGAACCCAACAAGAAAAACCAAACAGAAAAATATATAAACACATAAAAGAAGAAAACAAGAAAAACGAGCGTCGGATTTGCAGTTGCGTCTTTCCCTACGACGAGAAGGTGGCTTGCCATCTGAGAAGCTGGGCTCGCCTTTCACCACAAAACTCTTGGTGTGGGCGGGCAACTTTTTGCCTAGCCCAACATTCTCTAGTGTACTGTACGTCCCTTCCGACACCCTCTGTCAGTAGCTAATTCGCAACTCAAAGCGTAGAAGAACTTAGCTAACTTAACACTTGGCTTGCTACGCTGGTTCACCACTTGAAGAATTCACATACTGTAATTAGGTTGGAGGCCATCGCTATTAGGTTGGAGGCCATTGCTACTAGTAGCCAGAAGCTGCTAGTAACTAGTGCATTACAAATGAGCTTTTGACCTTTTGAAGCCATTGACCGGCCCCGCCGGAGATTATGCTTACCCATGTTGCATTTTTCTACATTGCAGGGTGTGACCAAATTGACCGAACCGAAATCAGCGCATTTGTCTCGTTCATTGCAACATCTCTTAAATCTCCTGTCTCATTGCACAGCGCCGTGCCCTCTTTTCAGACGCGGCCCGTCGTGCAGCACGTTTTCGATGCGCCTTACAGCGAACAAAATGGCACCAGGACAGTGAAGAAATGAAGATCGAGGTTGTGGTCTCTCAGGTTCAGATGGGCCACAAACAAAGCCCGAGGAAATTGAACAATGGACCTTTAAGATTGATGGATGGAAATCCGCCACTACAGCCCTACCTCCTTTCTGCCAGAACTACACAAAACTGTTCGGGCTAAGTGGAAAGCTAAGATCGTTTTGGGCAATTAATCCGCCCCGATGCACCTCTCACATCCGCACAAAACGACGCTCTCAGCGGAGGACTGCAATGGCAGCTGCAGCTTCAGCTCTTGCAGCAGCTCGCGCTTCGGCCTGGGGGTTCTCACAATGCCTGTTGTCACACAATGTCGTCACAGTGTTTGTCGCTTCAGCCGCTTCAGCCTCTGCTTCACTTTGACATCGTTTGGCCTCGGCACAGACACACAGCCAGGCCGGAGCTCCATGGGGCTTTGGCTGTTTTTTCTTTGGATCTAGTAGCTTCTAGTAGCGTCCTTGTTACTAGTAGTAAGGCCAGGAGCCCCTAGTAGCGTCCGATCGCTCCTAGTAGCGATGCCAGGAGCCCCTAATAGCTTCTTGTTACTACTAGCGATGCCATTGATACTAGTAGCTACTTTGGATCTGTTTGTGGAAGCTTTAGACTTTTGGTTTTGCCCGCTCCTACTTAATTCAGGGAGTAAGCTACTAGGCTAAGTTAGCTACTAGACATGGACGCGCAATAGCTCATGCTAATGACTTGGTTCCTAGATATTTAGGGAAACCTCATAGCTTCTAGCTACTAGTAGTAATGCCCTTGCTACTAGGAGAGAGGAGCTACTACTAGTAGTGCCCTTTGCTCCTAGTAGCTTCTTGTTTCTAGTAGTGCCTTGTTACTAGTAGCGATGCCCTTGTTACGTCGGCTCATTACGACTCTTGTGGCGCCGTCTTTCCTCAGGTTCCAAGGTATCGGCTGCCTCCAAACTCTTAGCACGGCGAACGCGCGCTCGTGCTGCTGCCTGGCACCCCTTCCAGATCCCGGAACATGAACGCAACAACTCAACATTCTAAAAACTTTGAAAAAAGCGTTTACAGATTACGAAGTTTCGTGCAATGTCCGCTTTCATTGTGGCTCAAAATTCCAAAGAGTCAAAGGGGGTCAAAGGTGACGTGATGGTACCGACCAGTGAAGTGCCGGTTCAACATCGGGACGATCGAAAGGAATTGCTCAATCTTTGTAGCTTCTTGTTACTACTAGTAAGGCACTTGTTCCTAGTAGCGATGCACCTGTTACTAGTAGCTTCTTGTTCCTAATAGCTTTGTCGCGTTTCGTCGAAAAGATGCCCTTTGCTCCTTGCTCCTAGTAGCGTCCGATCGCTCCTAGTAGCGATGCCCTTTGCTACTAGTAGCTTCTTCACAACAAAGATTTGTCCATGTCTCAACAAATTGCTTCCCGCTTCCCTTTCGCAAATTCCTTGACTGTTCCTCAAGACAGGACCTAAACCAGCCGAAACAGCAACCGTCCAGACCTGACGCTTGAAAGAACAAATTCAGTCTCGTCTCTCGGAAAGGCTGATTTGTGGCCTCCCCAATCCGAGGACAAAGCTTCATGCCTGACAGGTTGGACATTGACTCGCAACATCTCAACACTGATCTGGCTCAGAAGTCACACGTGCACATTGTGGTTTGTGCAAGAAGTCTACTCACTTCGATCAAAAGCTTCCTCATCCTGAAGCTTTTGGGATGTATTCGGGGCTAGAACAGCAATTTCACAGCTGAATGCAATTCATTCCTGAGGCATCCATTTGTTTGAGCTTTTCGGGCGAGAAAAACACCAACCGTCTTAGACGGCCTCCACTTTCCGTTGGAAATACAGGTTGGCGCACTGTACAGCCAAAAAACAAGCATGTTCGCACTTCCAATGAATTGATCTCGAAACGCTGGTTTTTCAGGCCTCAGCGCGGCACAGCATGCACGTACTCGAACATCAAAACGCTCATAGTTTGGCCAAGTAGCACATGGCTAAACCACATACCCACACCATCCCGCACATCACTTTGCAACTTTCTCCTGCTATGTCAGCGCCGTGTTTCTGTATCAGAATCAACACCACGCGTTGCAACCGGACTTCAACTATAGCGCCACATGTCGCATTCCAAGTGCCTTTGCCCCCTTATGCAGGTCAATCAAAAGGCTGAAAATTCCTTGGTCCACAGTCTCGCTGGAACACATCAACAACCTGCTTCTATGCTCTTTGCACTCCTCCAACCTACTAGCCTCCAACCTGCTTCTATGCCCTTTGCACTGACCCCCAGAATGGACCAAAACGATCCTGAGTAAAACTGCAGCATGTCACTGAGTTTCCGACGCTTCAGCGCGGGCAAGAGCTGTGCATCTACAAGGAAAGCCTCAATGATGGAACGGTCAAGGTGCACTTCTCCCGAAGGCCATGACAAAGACCATTACGTGTTTTGAGAAGCTAGTGCGTCGGAAAGGCAGAATATGCAGGCGCAAGCATGGGTGTGGGAAAGGAGTGGAATGACGCAAGGCTGTTCAAAACATCAACAACTCAAGGACAGTGCCAGGCTTCAAGTGTTGAGTCTCGTCTCTTCCACTATACATTCCACATGGAGGCAATATAGTTTGCTTGGGTAAGCAACTAGGAGCAAAGGGCATCGCTACTAGGAACAATGTTCGCTACTAGGGGCTCCTGGCATCGCTACTAGGAGCAAGGGCGCTACTAGGCCCCGATGTGGTTGGCATTTTGGAACAGTGCACTAGCCCTAGGCTCTTGCATTTCATGTTGGTTTGTTGGCTCGTTATACAAACAATCATGTAGATTGTGTTTATTTTAATGTATTTGATCAGTTCTCTTAGGTACCCATCTAAACCAAGTTGTTGGGTATCCATGAAACATTGTTTAACCACCCTTGTCGCTGCATTCTACAGCCGTCAACGCAACAGAATGCAGGATGCAGGTGAGCAACAACTGCCCCGAGAGCAACTTGAAACTCCAAGAGCCTCAGCAACGTTTCGTGCTTTGACTGGTGCCCACAATGTTTAACTCGCTTGCTGGCGCTTGCTGGTGCTTGCTGCCTTCGCAATGCTAAGCCAAAGAACGTCATCTCTTGAAATCGTGAAGAGCCCGACTCGTCCGTTTGGCTCATCATGCCTTAACAGATGCGCAAAGGGAAAGACCGAAGGCAACATGCAGCTTAAGATAGTCCAAGATGCCGAGGCGAAAGGCATAGGAAGACTGCCTTGGCTGAAAGCCAAGGATGCTGTGGATCTTGGCCTCTTCCTGGCAAACAGCACCAACAAACAAGGAACGAGAACAAATTGTTGCAAACCCTAAAGCAATGAAACAAACATGGCACCAGCAGCTCTTGGAATTCTGTGAGAGCCTCAGAAAGCTGTCAGACTGAGACTTTGACCTCGGGACAACATAAGGACGAGGCCATGAATTTTGGCTTCCCTGGAGGAGTTTTGGATCCACCAAACCGCTTGTACAATGCAGCCTGCGACGCAAGAGTCACGAGTCGAGCGAATCAAGAGAAGTTGAACTGTTTCTTTCTGATTTTCTCTTATTGTTAGGACGCCATCACTAGTAGGTTGGAGGCCATCGCTATTGGGTTGGAGGCCATTGCTTCTAGGTTGGGGGCAATCGCTATTGGGATGGAGGCCATTACTAGTAGGTTGGAGGCCATTGCTTCTAGGTTGGAGGCCATTGCTAGTACAAGTAGGTTGGAGGCCATCGCTATTGGGTTGGAGGCCATCGCTTCTAGGTTGGAGGCCATTGCTTCTAGGTTGGAGGCCATTGCTAGTACAAGTAGGTTGGAGGCCATCGCTATTAGGTTGGAGGCCATTGCTTCTAGGTTGGAGGCCATTGCTAGTACAAGTAGGTTGGAGGCCATCGCTATTGGGTTGGAGGCCATCGCTTCTAGGTTGGAGGCCATTGCTAGTACAAGTAGGTTGGAGGCCATCGCTATTGGGTTGGAGGCCATCGCTTCTAGGTTGGAGGCCATCGCTAGTACAAGTAGGTTGGAGGCCATCGCTATTGGGTTGGAGGCCATCGCTTCTAGGTTGGAGGCCATCGCTATTGGGAGGCCATCGCTTCTAGGTTGGAGGCCATCGCTATTGGGTTGGAGGCCAGTTTCTTTCTGTCTCTCTTTCTCTTGAAACGGGGCTTCGCTTCGTCGCTTCTTCGCTGGGCTTTGGCACCAGGAGATCTGTGTATTTCTTGAAGAGATCGTCGACAGCCTCAGACGAGAAAAGAAGATGTCTAAAGTGACCACATGTCTAACACAAGAGAAAGGAGAAAAGGAACAAACAAACCCAAAAGCTCAAAACACCTTCTTTCTCGTTTGACACGCCTCCCTGCAAAGTGCCCTGAAGAAGGCATTCAGCTCTTGTTCTGCTTGCCTGCGAACAAAAAAGAATGCACCTTTCAACGTCTAGAGTGCAACAGAACCTATTGCCCCTCCCTCTCCCTCTCCCTCTCTGAAAAGAAATGCTTTGCGGTGCAAGGCAATTCTGAAAATGACAAATTGTTGTTCAATCATTCCCTCTGCTCCTGCCATCCTGCTCGAATGCTTGCAGTAGCAGAGCCATCGCCTGGGACAAACATTTCAACTCGGCACAAAGCATTGCACTAACTGCAACCTCTAGTCTTTCACCCACAACTTCTAGTCAGATTTGTTGATGAATACGTTTCGGGAGTTCTTTGACTGCCTGGTGAAAGGTTTGAAAACTCATGTTGAACAGCCTTCAACCCTCTTGCACCCTGCCTCCGTCATGTTCTGGGCCACCTTGGTCAAGAACGACAAACGACCAGGGAGCAAACGAAAGTGTCTGGGAAGCCAAACGCCAGACTTTAGGAAGTGGTGGTTCGCCACACCTGAGACCGGCTCCATCACACCACTGAAGCAGCACTTCACTCTGCGGATCTCTGCGGCAAATGGGCGGAGCGAACATTGCTCCTAGTAGTATGGCCAGGAGCCCCTAGTAGCGTCCGATCGCTCCTAGTAGCGATGCCCTTTGCTCCTAGTAGCGGAGCAGGATTTCCAAGAACTCATAGCGAACCAATGTCTTGTCGTTGACGACCACCATTGTCCTTGGCTCACAGTGGTTGCATGACATTGAATATGCGCTCGCCCACACACACTCTGGAGATATTATGCGTTCGATTTCGAGCCCAGCCCTGGGAACCTTGGTAACGAACGTCTAAGTAATAGCTTCTTGTTCCTAGTAAGGTCAGGAGCTACTAGTAGCTTTTTGCTCCTAATAGCGATGCCAGGAGCCCCTAGTAGCTACTTGCTCCTAGTAGTAAGGCCAGGAGCTACTACAAGATACTACAAGTAGTGCAAAGGGTCCAACCACCTGCAAAACCTAAAGAGCTGCATCTCGAGATTTCCCGGCTCCAACCGGTTGGTCCCAAAGATTCCGAAGCGTCGGGTCGACAACGATTCAGTACACACACACACACACATACACAGTCTTGAGGTTAACGGTCTGAATGTG